ACATTTTCCCGAGAACAAGCTAAGCAGTAAAAGTTTTTCTGAGTAAATAATTAAAAGAAGTAAAGAATGGGAGGATGATATATTTGGTGAACAGTAATATTAAGGAAACTAAATTTGTAGATAAAATTTTGTAAATTAAATGACATGAAAGTTAATGATTGAATTATTACTTAAACGTTGATAAAAATGTTCATTATTATTAATGATATATCATTTAATTTGTAAATTTTATTTATAATAAAATGAATTTCAAGACATTCCTTACCACTCCAAGTCGACCACAACTACAACCAACAAAATCTTGATTATTGAGAAGCTCAATTTATAAAACATTTTGTAGTAATATTTTAAGATTCGATAATATATGGAAGAAGAAAAAGGTCATAAAGTCTCTGACCTTCTCATTTCCCATCATCCAACTGCAAACAAAAAGAAAAAAAGCTGCCCAAATTACTTTCCATTGATTCTAGTGCCCCTTTTGACTTGTCTTCGATCTCCTTGTCGTTAAAATCTCTGCTGCTCCCCTCCATTTCTTTCTGGTTAGGAAATACTCTTCACCGTCGTTTACTCGCTCTCTGAAACCTCTCTCTTCTCTCTCTCTCTCTCTCTCTCGTGTACTACTGCTAATATTATTTTCTTTTGTGTCGGTGTTCATGAGGCAATGCATATATGATATGCTAGCTAGGGTTTATAATATTTTAGTCACGTACCCTGAAGTGACCGTCTAAAACAGGGAGCTACCAGTATTTTGGATAAAATCTCAGATATTTATTAGCATTGCATGAGATAACATGTTCAGATGATCATAGCGTATATGAATTTAAAGAGTGATAATCTTTGCTTGCGACTTGCGAGATCATTATACAAGACAGACGTGCATCCTGGTTTGACATGAACAAGATAGATGTAGATACATTCATACAGTCACTCAGGCAGTGATTCATGATATGTTTTAGGATAAGGATAGTGATTCAAGGTTAAAACTAATAAAGTTTTAAAAACATTCTAAATCCTAATTATATATTATATAAAAGAAACACGTAAACAAAGTTTCTGATAAACAAAGCTCGAGACTAAAGTTTTGGAGAAACATACTAGAGACCAAACATACTTGGGATCAATAAGACATATTTGGTCAAAACTGATTCTTGTTTGGTTTAGGCCATCTCCAACCGAAGGAGGGTGAGAGTGCTCATTTTAGCCCTCTGACCTTCCAAGAAATTAATATTTTAATAAACAATGCAAGACTATATTTCTTACCATCTCTAACCGATGATCAAAGGGCCATAAAGCTAAATATAGCCCTGTGACAAAAAATCATTTCCAATCGAGGGTCAAAGGGCCAAACATAATTTATTATTTAAATTTAAAAACTACAACAACTTAAATTTAAAAACTACAAAAACTTAAATTTAAAAACTACAAATTAAATTTAAAAAGAAGCATGGAGTATGTGTTTAAGTTTCATGTTGTTAAATGTTTTTTTTTATGTTGTATATTTTTATGTTGTTTAATGACTTAGGAAGTTATAGGAAAAAAAAATAGAATTTTAAAAAAAAATTTGTAAAAAAAAAAAAAAAAAAAAAAAAAAAAACCAAATACGACGGCTAGCTGTTGCATTCAAATTTGTGGCCTGTCCCGAGGCTGGCTTGCTGGCTAGGTTGCCTTTTGGTCCTTTTTTGTCCCATAGGGCCCACAAGCCATTTGGCCTAACCCTCGGTTGGAGACGGTTTTCGGGTTATTTTTAGTCATCTGGCCCTCTGAACCCTTCGGTTGGAGATGGCCTTACACTCTTCGAGCTATCCGAAAAGTTTAGAACACATTAACTTTTAGAAAATGTCAATAAAAAAAAACTTATAAAAGTTATTTCTTGAGAAAATTCTTACTAGTATTTTAAAATTTTTATTGTGCACTCCAAATTTTTATATTTATAAAGAAAAATATACTTGTGACAAGTGAACAATTAGAATTTTTGAAATGTCAATAATAGTTCACTTTCTTTATTTTAATTCTATCATTTTTCTTGATTAAAATTCTTACTTTATTTTTAATTCTATAGTGTATCATTTGATAAAAACTAGTTTATTTTCTCATTTATTGTACAAAAACAACCTTGTACTGTTACACACTGTTGTGGTTCATATAGAACAGCATCCCTATCCGTAATATACGGCAATGAGTGCAATAATCAGAGTTGATTACTTGATTAGATATATAACTAGGTCGGTCCTGAACAGTCCACTATGCTGGGAAATTCTCTCTCCCCTAACTGATATTGAAATTAAATATCTCAACCTATATTCCAATTATTGGTACCGGATTAATTAAAAGTTTGCCAAACTTGCTGAGAGCATGAACTGGGTACTTTCTCAATGGATTCTCTTGGCTAAACCCTAAGGTTTCCTTTTGAAACTAACGGGTTGTTTGGTGCCCTTTGTCCCTGCCTCATTTCTTTTGGTGTTCTAGGATATCCCTTGTTTGGTTAAAAACATAAGGGCTCGTATGATCTTGGACGGAACATGCCCAATTAGTTACATTGGGAAGGAAGAAGTTGTACCGTATCTGTGAATATTTTTTTGGTTGGATAATACTTGTGTCCATTCCAATTAAACTACGTTAATCACGACTGAACAAACAAAAAGATGGACATGAATAGACACAAGTATTTTTCTTAAAATGCAGCATACACACGTGTAACAAAGATGTATACTCGTTTTTAAGCTAGGGCAAAGACTTGTAAATAATTAATTAAGGTAAATATAATAAAGATAATTAAGAAGAGCATTAGATTGGTAGACATTTAACCTCCTTTCCTTAGTCCAGCCAAACAAACACATCCTTTGTCTCCATCTCACAACCAAACAGAACCTAATAATAAAACAAAACTTAATAAAAGAAGGCCTAAGAGCATTTCCACGTGAATTTGGATAACTTACGAATGTTACTATTCAGAAGAGTAATTTATTTTTAATGTACAATTCAATTATTTAGTAAATTATTGAACGGATGAAATTAATTTAGAATAGGTGATTACAATTATTGTAAGAATCATTGGATTAAAAGTAAGAATTTGAAATGGACATCTGAGATGTGGCCACGTGGCTAGTGACCATTGGATGCCCAACCGACTGTTGTGGCAGGCTCCAAACGTTAGTTTTTGTCACGCCATTCTCCTAGGTGGGCGCGTGTAGCGCACGCTTGGTGCAAAAACATAAAAATAAAAATTTAATGTGGACCCGCTGACGTCAATGCCCTGGATTTGGACTTAGACTTAGAATCAACATGGCGCCAGCCATGACTGGGTAGCCTTGGTGACCCCAAAATTGATGGAGGTGTCGTTTTAGTTGGATTTGGAATCTAGACATATTAACTTAACATGGGTAAAAATACTCTAATAACAAAAACCCTTTTATAAAGAACCTAAAAACACCCTAACTATAAATCAGACAAGTCCATGTGACCATTAAATCCTTGGTTTTCAAACCCTAACTCATCACGCTAATGCAAAAAACCGGCGAAGCCATTGAAAGTTTGGAACTGTAAATATGGAAAATTTTGCCAACATGCATGAAACCAATAAAAAATAACAAAAACCAAAGTAGGAGGAACAACTTCTGAGCGCCGCCAGTGTATTCATTCAGAATGTTAATCACAATGGACAAAGAAGGAAAGTACAGAAAGAACTCTTGGTTCTATAGACCACCTTTGCGCGTATCGGTCTCACCCTTCACGTGAGGTTATAATTTCAATAACGTAAATACATATAAAATAAAATAAAAAATATATATATATATTTTATGTTTTTAGATTATATTTTATAAACTTAAGATATGACGATTTATAAAATATAATTCACATAGATAATCTTTTTAACATGAATTAAATTATATTATTAAATTGAAACACCGTTTTGACTATGAAACAGTTTTATATAAATCATTGTTTTTCTTCTCCAACTCCTTATGGCTATAATTTATATTTCTTAATTTATTAAAAAATTAGAAGGTAGCAGCAGCTACTTTTATATGCTTGTCCAGAACTCCAGGCTCTTTCACGGTTTCATTGCCTGTTGCCATTTCCGGAAATGTGGTTTCGTTTGGTTCTTTGCTTTTCTTCGTGTTACTAGTGTTCCAGTTTTTTAAGTGGAAATTAAAATAAAAGAGTTGAGATTGAAAAGCAACCTGTAATTTACGGCAATATCATTAATATACAATCAACATCAATCGTATTCTTACTTTCCCTTTTTTTTTTTCTGTCACCTAAGATCAAAAGATAAATATAAAATATTAATTTAATAGCTGATGTGATAAGTTTCAAATATTAATTTGAAAACCGATAAATATCAAATCATATTCTTATTATGTGTTATTATACAAATTCCAGGATATGTATGTTAAAAAGTTAATAACTTAAAAAATAAAATTTCTCATCACTTTACTTTTATAAAAACATGTTTCGATCATAATAAAATTTTTCTCCGCATGTTACTCTCAGCTGTCAAAGGAAATGTCCATGCGTAACAAGAATATGTAGTGAAATTAATTTTTTGTATTATGTATCATGCCGGTAAAACTCCTTAACAAAAAAAATTAAAATTATATCTTGAAAATTTATAAAATGAAATGAGAAATATTGAAGCATGGTGTTTGAACTTTGGTTCAACTGGAACATCACTTATGAATTAAATATTCGTGAATGTTATTTCTTAATGTGTTATATATGAAACAATGCTTATATTAAATAATATGATAAATAAGAGACAAATGTTGTAGGGGAGTTACTAAAAAGGATCACTGCTCTACATTTTTATAGAGCAAAGTTCCAATTCAGTCAAGGATTAGGAACCAATACTTCAATTTTCTCTAATAAAAATAATGTTTTAGAAATTTTATAGTAGTGTAAGTGAATTTGCATCTCGTATACACAAATCAAGCTGTTTGAATTTGATTTTAAAACGTATTGTTATTGAACTAATATGAGTTAACAATTGTGACACCTTTATACGTTATAAAAAAAATTCATGAAATTCATATATTACACTCAAGAATTAAACTAGGGTTTAGGGTACTCTAATCCACATGTAATTTTTTTTTAGGAAAACTAGTTTCATATCTTCTATGTTAGTGGCAATTTGTCTAAGCAAACTGTAGGTGGTTGGTTCTCTTACGCCGATTTTCATCCAACAACTTCTGGGTTGAAAATATGAACAAAGATGGAGGAAATGACCAGTAGAACACATCCTAGTCGTTAGAATTTTACTCTGAAAAATACATGCAAACAACTTTTAATGTATGAAGTATTTACAACACTACACATTATTTTCAAAATTTAACATACTGTTAGATTGAATAAATTGAAAAAGTTCAATGAACAAAATATTTAAAAAATAAAAAATAAAATGTAAAAGATAAAAAAAAAAATAGTGCTCGAGTAGCACCATCTTAATATAAAACGTGATTTAGACTCAAATACTCCATAAAAATTTCTACATGCCTAGAATTGAAAGAAAATTAAAAATCAGTCACTTTCCAGCTCCTTAATGGATCTCCAGCTATAAATACACCTCCCACAACTGTCTTCCTACTCATCATCATCATCAACAAACCCAACGCACATAATATCACAGATACCCTTTCATCTCTCGCACAACAAAAATGGAAGAAGCGATCAGAAGGATGGACGAATTCACTCATTCTTCTGAACCCGACCCGATCACTAAAGAGCTAAGGAAGTCAACGACTGCCGCCACCAGTAAGCGCTCGCTGAGAGACACTGCGACAGCCACTTCCTCGGGTGCAATGAGATACCGCGGCGTGCGACGCAGGCCGTGGGGTCGTTACGCGGCGGAGATCCGGGACCCGCTGGCCAAAGACCGGCGTTGGCTGGGGACCTTCGACACGGCAGAGGAAGCCGCCTGCGCCTACGACTGCGCCGCTCGTGCCATGCGCGGCGTCAAGGCTCGGACCAACTTCGTCTATCCTCCTTCCCCGCCTACCGATGTCGTCGCCGATCACCCCTTCCCTCCTTTCAGCTACCACATGCACTCTCACCCGTCTGCTAAAACTCGTAATGGTTACGGCGGCGCTAACTACTCTCCTAGTTGGAATTCTGTACCCTTTTTGCAATACCCATCTCCTAATCAGAACAACGGCTACGGCGGCGCTACTACTGCTGCTGCAACTTCTTCTTTCAACATGCTTTTCCTCCGGAATTTCATAAATCCCTCACAAAGCCCATCTCCCGTTTACAATAACCAGTTTCCGTACAAGATAAACGGCTCTTCTTCTACTTGTTGTTCTTCAGCTTCTTTGGTCAACCACCCCTCTTCTGGTCCACGTCATGAAGCCAACATCTCCGGAAGTACTAATTTCACTACTGGTTCTTCTTCTTCCATGGCTACTACTCCTACTTCTACTACTACAACTCTTCCCTTCATGGATATTACTTCACCTCCTCCCACAAAACCCACCTCCAACGACGATCAACACTACTCCTCCGACTTCTTCCCCACGGAGCCGTCCGATTCCGGGTTTCTAGAAGAGGTGATCGACCGCTTCTTCTCAAAACCCACCTCCAAGAAACTATCAAATGATGTTCCCAAATGGACTGACGACTACGCCCATCCTTCCAGTGCAGCTCAGACACCTAGCTTTGATGGGTCTTCGACAAGGTCCGTTGGAGGGTACTCAAAAGACGATCACCGTCAGGTAAATGTTTGTTACAGTTTCCAAGAGCTGCTGCCGCTGCCTCAGCCGCAGAAGCTGGAAGGATGTAGTTTCAACGAATTAATGGATCATCATCATCAACAACAGCAAGTGTCACATCCACAGGCAGTACCGTTTTACAACGATCACGCGCCGTTGGGCGGCGGCTCAGATCACTCCATGGGAGTGGATAACATGTTTCAGTACCCTGAGGTTATGGGTGAGTTTGCAGCCAGGGTCCAAAACTAATAATTCCTATATAGCTTCCTGCAAAATGTTCCCATATGATAAGGTAGCTTAAGATAGCTAGAAAAAAGAAGGGTATGGATGTAACCAGTTTGCATGCAACTTTCTATTTTTCTTCCCAACTAAAATTAGGGTTTCTGTTTTTGTTTTATTTTAAAGAAGGTTAGCGGAAACTGTTTCTGCTGCTTAGTTTTTAGTGAGGAACAGACGGGAAGAGAGAAAAATATCTGAATTGTTATCGTATTTTGATTAAATTATGCAAATTCTGTGTTTCTTTTTATGTTTTATTTTTTTTTAGTTTTGGAAATTTGTCTCGTTTTAATTTTGCTTTTGTTTTTCAGACCTGTGACACCAACTGTTCAGTCTGTTCAGTTGGCCTTAGAGTGATATGGTTGACATTGGAAATCTGGGAACTTGTAAGGCCATCATTGGACTTTTCGGCTCTATCTTCATTATTCTTGTATTGTTGATACCTATATATTCAATGAGCTCCATATCCAATATTCTTGAACTCAGCAAGCGAAAATAAAATAAAAATTAAGAGTGAAAATTGGAGAAAATTAAGTAGAAACAGTTTGTTCTTCACTCTGTTCCAAAGATTGAATCGTTTGAAAAAAAATAATAAGTGAAGTTGCATTTGCCTTGCTTAGCTAAATAGAACACCTCCCTTGTAAGTTAGGGGCATAAATACGTCGAGTTCAAATATTCTACATCTAAAATTCTATGTGGTCTTGGTGACTTATCTACTTAAGTGAAACGTGTTCTTTTAACTTTATTTATCTTTAGTTTTTAAATTTTTATTCATGAGATAATTTGAAAAGTTGACATTGTTAAGTAAATTTTAAATGAATGACAATGTGTCAACAAATAAGATAGGACACAAAAATACCACGAGTTTTGAGGGCAGAAGATTTAACCTAAAAAATGTTACATAAGTTCGTTTTAGGACAAAGTTTTTCTTTCCTTGATTTCTCAGTAATCGGTCTGCCAATGGCAAAAGAGTAGTAGTGCCTCTCCCGAGTCGTTTCCAGGCCAGCCACGGTGTTGGGAGAAATGACTTTCACATCTCATTTTCCTCTAGTGTATTTTCTCTTCCTCGCTAATTTTCGAAGTTCATCTACATCAAGTAATTTCTAAAACAATTTTAACGAGCAAAAAAAGAGAGAAAAAATCAATGCAAACACAAGCAAAATATATATTTAACTTTTTTCAAATTTGTTAGATTGCTCAGGTTTTGTGTCAAACCCTGGAAACATGCATTTGGCAGCTTTCTGATGAAAATGAATCAAGTGGTCGCATGAACCATCAGGTGCCAGGTGGGATACCCTTTTAAAAAAAAGGGCCCTGACTAATTAGGGTTGAACCGACCACCACTAACCAAGTGTTCAGTACTTGCTGTGCTATTTAGGCAAAGGAATAAGGTAGGAATGGTCCTCCAAGCCCCAGCAATTAATTTTGTATCCAGAGTTTATTGCCTACATAAAATAATGCAAAGCTCTTTTTCTCTTGGCCTTTATTTCCCTTTTATATAACTATTGTTACCGAACCCCTTCTCTACTGTTCTATTTATAGAACTAAAATTTAACTACTTAGTCATTCAGTGGTATTTTTTTTCGCTTAAAAATGAGAGGTTTTACATTTGAATCTCATGGATGGCGAATTCGATACCAAATTAGGCTGCTCATTGTGTGACTTAGTCGAACTCTCCCTCCCCTTAGTATAAAAATATCGATGTATTAAAAAATTTACCTACCCAAACCCTTTTAATATATATATATATATATGATATTTTTGGGTCGACCTGACAATTTCATGCTCGACATGTTAATTTAACGTGAAAAAAGGGATTTCGAGAAGAGGTTTAAAGGGAATCGTTCAAGCACCCACTAAAATAACGGGTTTATTAAGGTTTACCCATTGGTAACCTGTTAAACTAAAGCCCTAGCTCTCTTAGTCTCTCTTTCAATTTATGCGGCATGTAGATGTATTGTTAAATGAAACGATTGTGTATCGTTGAATTAAAACCAAAATTATGAATTTAGATGTTAATGTTAAGTATAATTTTCATTTTTCATTCGATTATTTATTGAAGTAATATATTGTCCTAAACGGGTAAAAGTAATACGGGTCGGGGTAGGTAAAATATTAATTTTAACATGTTGAGTTTAGTTTTAAAGTTTAAAGTCCGTTAAGATAACATGTTTGACATGACATAATCCGTTAAAATAACGAATTTAACACGAAAACGATACGAATACAGTACACACGATCCGTTTGACATGTCTACTTTTGGGACAGCCATATCCGTTTTGTTTTTATGAAGAGGGAAACTTCATTAACAACAATACATGGGATACATATATTGTTGCGAATATTGTTAATTATGTGGCGGTCACAAATATGTATCTATGGCCAATATGTAATATACTAATATTTTAGTTCCTCATTGCTGTGAACTTTGAGCCTATAAATAGGCATGCTAATGAGAATAAGACACTAATTTCTCCTCCTACTCTCTCTTTCTCTCTCTCTTGTCTCTCTCTATTTTATACTTTATTTCTAACATATATCTCACTTTCTTTTGAAAATTATATGTTTATGTTTCATTTTATGGATTTCGGAGTATGCATATATACTTAGAAGATGTTGTCTACAAGAATATTTTTTAATTTACGCAAGAATTCAAATTTGTGACCGCTTCTAATATTGAAAAGAAACAAATCACTAAAACTTATACTCATGTTTATGTCTCATTCATTCATATTTGTTGCGTCATGTGCTTGTGCCACACGCATCTGTTAGGCCAGTGGCCCGACAGTAAAGTAGGGCATGGAGAAAACCCCAATGGTCAGCAACGCAAATAACGCAACTCTGTGACACGTGGCACAATTCTTGCCTTTTGATTCAAACTGTCACGATTTATTTCAAGATAAAAATTATAAAAAAGGGTAAAAATTTAGGACAAATTAGAATTTTTTTATACGTAGAAAAGAAAAAACTTCAACGATTCCCTTTTGTCTTCTATAAGTACCAAATCATATTCTTCACTCCACACACCAAAATCCATCCTTAGTTGTGGCAAAGCTACGAGTTTAATTCATTTCGTTGTTCACTTTTTGAAAAGTATTCAAATCTTAAAACGAACACCAAAAACAATATTCACCAAAAATAAAAGATGGACACAAAGCGCAATTATAGCAACCTATTACAAATTAATCTCATCCGTTAAATGGTGAGTAGATCGGGACGACTGCGAAGTCGAGTAATTTGGCATGTTTGTTGAGAAAAGCAGGTGAGGAATCGGTGACGTGCAGAGCTCAGAGTGAGTGAGAGTGTGGTGGGTGTTGTTGGACCATAGACTGAGGGATAAAATACCGAGTGGCGGTTGGTGGTGGTTTGCTGGGGTGTAGGATAAGGAGGAGGAGGGTGATGGTTTCGGTTTGGGTTTGGGTTGGGGTGCAAGATAAGAAGGAGGAAGAGAAGGGTGGGGATTAAGAGAGGAATGGTAGAGGAGGTGGTGGTTGTGGAGAAGGGAGGATAAAAATGGGGGAGAGAAAAGGGAGAGCCAAAAAGGGTGTTGCAGAAGGGAAGGAGGTGGTTGGGGGAAGGTAGAAGACGGTAGTTTTTTTTTTTTTTTTTTTTTTTAATATTGAAGTGGGCTCATATTGACACGTGGCGCTCAATTATTATCCACGTGGGTGCCACGTCATCAGTTAACAGAAGTTCTAACAGAAAACTTAACGGAGGTATGAAACTGTCCCAAACTTAGGACTTGAGGTATGACTCTGGGATGAAAAAAACTTGATGTACCAAATGTTGAAAACCACGAAACTTCAGGGTAGTAAACTGAGATTAACCCTAATTAAAAACTCTGACTTTAATTAGAAATAGTGGATTTATTGTTCCCTTACAATTTAATTTTTAAGTTGAATGCTTAAGTAGTGTGGTACAAACCTTTGCATGACAACAGCCTACAAAACTTCTAGCATTGCGTAAGCAAATTGATATATAATCTTACTATAGATTCATTAAATTTGTAATCGGGACTGTTGGTTGCATTAGATTATGCTTGGATTCTTATTTGTATGGTGTAGATTAAATATAGCCTTTAAATTGTCTCTGAGATTTGCATAACTAATTAGTTTAGTCTCTAAGATTTGAAATCAATAGAAGTGGTCCTTGAGTTTGTCCATCATCACTCATTTTGGTCATTCCATGAAAAATTATATCAAATAAGGATCAAAATGATAAAAACACCCTCAATTTAATAAACAATAGGCCAAATGATTTGACAAAATTGTGAATATTTTTCATGGAATGACCAAAATGATTGATGGTGGACAAACTCAAGGACTACTTCTATTGATTTCAAATCTCAACGATCATTTTAACTAAAATGCCTTAAATATATTTTTAGAACAGAAAAGAGGGACTACTTTTCAAATGACCTAGTTAGTTTAGGGTTTATTAGATAAACATATTTTTAATTTGGTTTTAACTTTTGCCCTTGAGATATGAAAAAATGATAAAAGACGAATGGTTATGAGAGGGTGTGTACGTGAAGAAAATTGGGTGTGAAAATCATTTCTCTAGAAGGAGACGTGAAGAAGGCTAGACTTACCTTATTTCTTGTACGCTTACATGCATAGGGATGCACCTCACAAAAGCAGCTAAAGATCCCATTTCCTCTACCTGTTACGTGTTTAACTCTTTTAAGTTACCTGTTTAGTGCTTTTATAAATGGTTAATAATTGAGATCAATAGAAGCTGGACCACGGTTTAGGAGTAAAGGTTAGACACTTGGACTTCAACGGTGAATGTAAATACAGATACTGTTTAAGAGCTCCTAATGACTCTACTAATTAGCTACTTCACCAAGAGAATGGCCTTTATTAGGTTTGGAGGGAGCTCTCTTGGACCAAGTTTTAGGTCTATGTAATGCCCTTAACAGAGGATAAGTAGTGGGAGTGGATTAGTATGTTAATCCTATCTCTTGTTTGGTTGAGATAGAATATCATTACTCCGAACTCACGACCCCAGGCTGTGGACACATAACCCTGGACGGTATGCGAGAAGCTCAACGCCGTGCACCACGCTCATGAAAATCAAATTCAACTATTCTTGTTAATCCCTCCCCTTAATCATGTCTAGCACTAAAAGCATCATTGGATAGATCTGTACACCTCTTTTCTTCACTTGCATTTTATTTTTTATTTTTTTATTTTTGAACAAACGATATTATCTACACTAAGGGAAATGAGATGAGTTTAGCCTTACAATGAGTTAGCAATAATATGGTTCAGATTCACCTTTAGCAAAATCGAACCTAAGATTTCTCACTTACTGAAGAGATATACCACTAGACTGTAGTACTAAGTGACAAAAAACAAAAAATCTAGAGGACGGGAGATGGCATTATAGCCAAGTTTATACCCATCTCATCGAAGGTTCGAAGCCCAGTTAATCAGAAAGCTCACGATTGAGTTCTCCCGATCTTTCAGAAAGCTCTGCTGTCAGAAGCCCAGTAATCATGAATTACTGTGGGCTAGAAAGTTTAACAGATGGAGATAGGACCGGCCCATATTATGTAAGCCCAATAGTACAAAACAAAATCGCCCGATCCAATTTCTTCCCATTGCTTGAGAAAGAAGAAGCAAAAAGAATTGTTACACTCACCGCATTTGTAACACCTCTTTAATAGAGATGGGAGAAGCTGTGAGAGAATATATATATATATATATTTTTTTTTTTTTCCAGAGCATTTACCTTTTCTGTCCAAATTGATGACAATTTAAACCCTAAATTTGAGGTATGTTAGTTTGTAAATGTATCAAAGACTATTTTAATCCATTTCCTATAAAAGTGTCTTTAATTAATTTGTAACATGTGTTATGAAGGACTTTGTGTTGTCCCAACTTATAGGATCAGAGCCTTTCTGTGAACCCTCTCCCTTTTTTCTTGCAACAATCTTTGCTTTCATGTGAATGTACAACCTAATTGGGGAAAGTCGATATGAATAAGCATTAGAACCCTTCTATATACTGGTTTGTGAGAGTGCCTGCAATTACACAGCACCCTCAATCATCTCTCTCAAAGAAAAAAAAAAAATACATGCACCCCATGATAATGTGTACCATGATAATTTGTGGGGTGTCCCTACATATATAGTTATCTCCATTTGAAGAAAAAAATTATTTGAAAAAAAAATTGGGTAGAGGTGATCAACAGTGAAATCTCTTGTGTTATAAGTATTTTTATATTGATTTTAGATATGCGAGTTGTCATGATCAGACAATATGTCAAAGTTTCTCTTTATCAATTTAAGAGGGTAATATATATCGTCTCATAAAGTTTCTTGATTCAATGCAATTTAAAAAAAAGAATAGTGTTATTCACATACTTATTTTTATCTTTTACGTACTCTTGTTAATTTTTAGTTATTAATCTTCTTTCATCATTCGATCTGACGACCACAAGTTAAAAAAAAAAAACAAATGTAAGAAGTAAAAAAAAAAGTGTGAATGAAATAGAAAAATTAACTAATGCTCGCTCTGTTATGGATGACGATGGTGATGGGTTTTTACAAGTGGTTGTGCATTATCAAAAGGTGATAGTGATGTAGGTGGGACGTTAATGGATTATATTGTCACACCCGTGGAGAGAGAGAGAGAGAGAGAGAGAGAGAGAGAGAGAGAGAGAGAGAGATTGCATGGCCTCGCCTCAAGGTTTTTAAATCAAAGTGTAGATACCCTTTACCTTTACTTATCTTTTTCTTGTCCCTCCTTGCTTTCCATCAATATAATTCAAACTAGTAGTAGTAGCAGATATAGATCCTTCAAGTAAAAATTTCTCCAACAATATTTTCGTGCCAAAATTTTAATTATTGGTTCCGTTTCTATCTTGTCACACCACTCACTAGTTTTCCGGATCACCAAGTTTTTATTAGGTGCACGATTTACTAATTCTTTCTTCTTCTTCTTGTTTTTATTTTCTTTGTTCGCTTTGCGTCCTTCTTTGTCCCATATAATTCAAGGTGTACTGATCGAGTCTAATGGAAAGTCACGAACAAGTAAGCAAGAAGGACGTGATGAAGGTGGAGATTCCATCGGATAATCAGGCTGATCAAGTCGCGTGCGCCGTGCTTATGAGACAGCAGAGCATGACCAAGAACAATTGCCTTTGCTCCCCGACCACGCATGAAGGTTCGTTCCGTTGTAGGCTTCACCGTTCCCCGAGCCTCCAACGGACCAAAAGCATGAACTATGCTTCGCCCCGAGGCCCAGCGCCTAAGGCTGGCTTCTAATGCAACTCACCTCTGCTCATCACCATGATCCTAAGCTTGTAACGCCAACAGTGATCTAAAGAAAAATAAGAGCGTTAATATATGGCATGCCTCTTTCCTAAAGTTTGGAATTTTTGTATTTTCTGTGTACTTTGTAACCATCCTTATTTTGTATTGAGAATTAAAAAGCTGGCATTTTATCAAGGGTTTCATAATCGCTGCAAAACTAGCACATTTGTAGTATAATTTATATAGAATTTCTATATATTGCACGAAATCTGGCTGGTTTTTTTTTTTATTTTATGGTTTGTGTCTTATTGCAATACTTGAAGCTGTGTGTCAATGTTTTTCTATACAATTTGACATTCGCTTCCACACAATTCTGGCAAAATGTAGAGGAAAACTATAATGACCATGATGACGGTAATCATATCAAAAGGAGTGTTGGAGCAGTTATGTTTTTATTTAAATATTCTTATATATATATATTTATTTATTTATGTTTTGTTTTATTAGAAATATTAAGTATATAATTGTTAATTGCTATTAACCTTATCAGTTAATAAGGAGTAATTGGTACCACATAAATATGTTTTGAGATACCTTCTTTGTATAGAGAAGAAGAACAAGTCTTAATCCATAATCATTCTGTATTGATTTTCTTTTTCCGTTTTGGATCTCATTGGTTTTAATTTTTCCTTATGATTTCCAACGGTTTTAAACCCAAATAACTCCTACAATTTTGATTCCTTACAGTTTTGTAATCCCAACATCTCTTTATAAATATAGGCCATTTAAGGGAAATGATCCTCATTTTTCAAAAAAAAAAGGGAACACCCTCTTGACTATTAGATTTCACTTTAATGAAATTCTGTGGCTGAGATTAAATCACAGGCCACAGAATCTCAAGCACAGGATTTCATTAAAGTCAAATCTAACAGTTAAGAGGATGTCTCCATTTTTTTTTGAAAAATGGGGATCCTTTCCTTTAAAGGCTTCCTATATATTTAAGTCATGCGAATTGTAGAAAGGTATAGTGAAAAAAACAAAGAAGAAGAAGTTTTACATATATTGGTTTGATAGCAACATACCGAAAAGGTGTAAGTTCAAGGGTTCTTCTGGCGTGCAAGGAAACCTCATAAGAAGAAGAAGGTTATGAGTTGTTTTATCCTGGGGATGACATGATATTTGTGAACTACTTGCACACTTTGGGCAGAGCCGCGAAACGTCTTAAAGAGAGCGACTTAGTCCACGACTCATCCCAAGAATCATTCACTACTTAAGGCTTCTACATTTTTCGGGTAACTTCGTTCATTTCTATTTCAATTTACAACAATTTTAAGGCAAATTCAATATGCCATGCATTATAAGGAAAACTTTGCTTCTTAGGCAAATCTTGTTGAAGAGCAATTGATTGCAATGATATCAGAAATCAACTTTGTTGATGGATTTGAGGGATGGTGGGTGGACACTGGCGCTTCTCGCCATGTTTGCTACAATCGTTCTCTTTTCAAGACCTATTATGTGGCTCAGGGAAGAAAGGTGTTGTTGGGTGATTCGCACTCAACTGATGTTTCTGGTATTGGAGAGGTGGATTTGAAGTTCATCTCTGGAAATACCATGATTCTGATAGATGTGATGCACGCTCCAGCGATAAGGAAGAATCTGGTCTCAGGCTTTCTTCTCAACAAGGCTGGATTCACTTAAACCATTGGAGTAGATACGTATACTCTTACTAAAAATGAGGTTTTTGTGGGAAAGGGATATGCTACTGATGGAATGTTTAAATTGAATGTTAATAAAATGTCTACTTCTACTTACATGTTGGCTTCTTTTAATACTTGGCATGCTAAACTTTGTTATGTAAACAAACGCTTGGTAAGAACATGAGTAACTTAGGCTTTTTACTTAACTTATCATTGACTGATTTTGAAAAATGTGAATATTGTAGTCAAGCTAAAATCATTAGAACTTCGCATAAATCTGTCAATAGAGTATCTGAACCACTTGACTTAATTCATTTCGATATATGCAAATTTGATAAAGTGCTAACTAGAAATGGAAAACGTTATTTTATTACCTTTATTGATGATTGTTCGAATTACTGTTTTGTCTATCTTATGAAAAATAAAAGTGAAGCTATTGACATGTTCAAAACTTTCTTGACTGAAGTTGAAAATCAATTTAATCGTAAGATTAAAAGATTTCGTAGTGATAGAGGACAAGAATATGAATCCACTGAATGTGTTAGTTTGTTTAAGTCACATGGTATTATTCATGAAACTACTGCTCCTTATTCTCCTGAAGTGAATGGTAAAGTAGAAAGAAAAAATCGAACTCTTTGTGAATTGACTGTTGCTACTTTACTTAGTTCTGGAGCTACTTCTTATTGGTGGGGTGAAATTGTGTTGACTGTATGTTATGTGTTAAATAGAATTCCTAACTCAAAAAAGAATATCTCTCCTTATGAAATGTGGAAAAATAAGAAACCAAATGTGTTGTATTTCAGAACTTGGGATTGTTTAGCATATGTTCGTAAACCTGATCCAAAAAGATCGAAATTGGCTAGTAGAGCATATGAATGTGTTTTTATTGGTTATGCATGTTGTAAAATCCCGTTCCTGAATTTCACTGTTATAATCTACGTATTGTTATTATTGAAATTTTATGTTATTTTTCGGGAATTTATATTAATTTATTTGAATTTAGATTTTAATTAAACTAATTACGAAGTTTGAAGTTTGGAAATTAATTAATTTAAAATGTGTAGACCTTTTGAGGTCACAATTAATGTTTTTGAATAAATCTCGAAACCATGAGCGCATAGGCAAAAATCATTTGTGAGTCCGGATTATAACGGTATAGTTACAGACATTTGAAGTTGTTTTTCTAAACTTTAGATTTTAAGTTAATTAAACTCTCACCTTGTGGGAAAGAAGATGAATCAGATTAGTGATTGTGGACCAATTAGACAAATGGCAGGAGGTCAATTAGGCATGTGTATTGTGGACCAATAAAAAAAATGAGGTGAGGAAGGCAGCAACCAATTAGGGAGGAGGGGGGAGAAAATAAAAATCCTAACTCTCCTTCGGAGGAACTCTCTGGAACTCTCTCTGTTTTCTACTTCCAGATGATCTCATCAACTACAAGAGGGAAGAAGGAAAAGGATTCTCAAAACTTAAATCCCCAGAATTGTAAAACATTGAGGGGGAAGTCCACACTCTCACTCTTGCTCTGAGGCAGAGCTGTAAAGGGAGAATCTCGCTTCAATTTGCAGTGATGGTTATCCAATTGCAACAGCAACAACAAAAGGTGTTGGCAAGTGGTGAGGTTTTATTTATTTATTTATTTATAAATTTAGAATTCTGTTGATCTGTATGATTGTGGTTGTTGATATTTTTGGATGCTGAAGAGTGTGAAACTATGGGTGCTGGCAAGTGGATATTTTTGGTTGAGTAGATAAATTCATTTATGCTTGCAAGGTGTTTGATTTAATACCCAAGAGAACTTACGCTTCGTTTGTTCTATGAAATTGTTGGATGTGGATGCTAAAACTTAATTGTTAGTAAACAACCAAATGTTAATGCGGATCTTTATTAAGTTTTATTATTGATAAGGTTATTATATCGATTAACAAGCAAATGGTATTACCTTCTGGATTTAGAGTTCTATTATATGAAATGCTTTTTTTGTTATCAAGCATCTAGACCTAGAAGGGAATTCTAGTCGAAATAACATCCTTGTTAATTTTGTGCTTATTTGAGTGTGGTTGGGGTTTGAGAGTTTAGATTGTTTACTAGTATTTATATTCAAATCAATGGTAAACGAACCAATTTCTCTTAATACACACACACACACACATACATATATATATATATATATTTGCCGCATTTACATGTCAAAAAGGGGTAGTGGCAGGAGTGAAGAGGTAGTGTTTTAAGTTGAAAATCATTAACTTTAAGTTGGTTTATTAAAGGATAGAGAAAGAAGGTTACGAAGCATAGGCATAGAACCATACAATGTTGATTGCATAGATGAGAAATAATATGTATGGTTACTAGTATGAAAATGTGACTTGGTTTTATAAATGTGTTTTCTATGAAAATGTGATTCTTTTATTTTATCAAATGTGAATGGATTCATGAATTGGTAATATTTGAGAAAAGGTGATTTGAAGTGCATATTGAAATGTTTATGAATTGTGTTATAAATATACATTTGAAATGTTGAGAAATGCAAGGGCTAGTAGGGGACTGTTACCCTAGTGTCACGGGGTTAGGTGACACCGTGTCTACACCATGTAGCAGTGGTATATGGATGGTCATGCTTGGTTAATCTGTGATGGGGACCATATTATTTATGGATAGCGTTTGGTTAATCCACAATGGGCGATCCTTATGGCCATGTATACTTGGGAGTGATCATGCTTGGTTAATCCGCAATAGGTGATCACTACCGTACGTGTGACTTTGCTTGGTTAATCCACGATAGGGAGTCACTACCTACTTAGTTATCTTAGTGTTGCTTAGTTAATCCGCGATAGAGGACCATATTTTCTATGGATCGTGCTTGGTTAATCCGCGATAGGCGATCCTTATATCTTTGGTATGGCCATACACACACACTTAGGGGTGATCATGCTTGGTTAATCCGTGATAGGTGATCACTGCCTAACAGATGCATATGAGTGACTCTGCTTGGTTCATCAGCGATAGGGGGTCACTGCTTACTTGGTTACTGTAGGGGTGGTTCTGCTTGGTTAATCCGCGATAGGGGGCCACTTCCTATTTGGTTACTTATGTAGGTTTCGGCCGAACTGCGTCCCTCTAGCCCTAGTTTTTAATGCACATAGGAATGATGGTTTTTGGGAATCTTGGTGGTTTGAATGGGAAAAGTCGTTGGATGTCTGGATGACTCATTCAGAGTTTTCAGTGACTTGATTATGATTTCATAAAGCATGATTTTATACTCGATGTTTATAGATTGTGATCAATGTTCTGTTTTTATTAAATATCACATACTTGTATTATTGTCACTCACCCGAGCTTCACAGCTTAACTGAGTTCTGATTTACCAGTGCATCATTCCCTTGATGTAGGCATTGATTTTACATATGACAGGTTTGGGTAGATTACGAGAAACTGTTTGGTATTTTGGTTCCGTTGAGTGGTCTGGGACCCGATGTTGTTGGATTCCATTGAGTGGTCCGGAATCTGCCTAACAGATGCGTAAGAGTGACTCTGCTTGGTTCATCTGCGATAGGGGGTCACTGCCTACTTGGTTACTGCAAAGGTGGTTCTGCTTGGTTAATCCGCAATAAGGGGCCACTTCCTATTTGGTTACTTATGTAGGCTTCGGCCGAACTGCGTCCCTCTAGCCCTAATTTTTAATGCACATATAAATGATGGTTTTTGGGAATCTTGATGGTTTGAATGGGAAAAGCCGTTGGATGTCTAGGTGACTCATTTGGAGTTTTCAGTGACTTGATTATGATTTCATAAAGCATGATTCTATACTCGATGTTTATAGATTGTGATCGATGGTCTGTTTTTGTTGAATATCACATACTTGTATTATTGTCACTCACCCGAGCTTCACAGCTTAACCGAGTTCTGATTTACCAGTGCACCATTCCCTTGATGTAGGCACTGATTTTACATATGACAGGTCTGGGTAGATTACGAGAAACCATTTGGTATTTTGGTTCCGTTGAGTGGTCCGGGACCCGATGTTGTTGGATTCCATTGAGTGGTCCGAAATCCTTGCTCTTGTTCATTTCCATAAGGTTATCTTAGTATCCTAGATTCGAGTGAATGAGAATTACCCACAATAGATCTTGTGAATACAAATTAGAATTACCATGTTATTTCTCATAATCCAAGTAGGGAATTATATAGAGTTCATTGGTTAAATTTGTGAAATGATATGTTACTGTATTCATTGATTAACATAATTAAATGCTAAGATCCTGCATCTTTGATTCATGAATTGATTAATTGACGGGTTTGTGAAATGACGATGGATATGATTGTTATTAGTATGATTATTTTAGTTGATCAATGTGGCTAGAAAATAATATTGTGCTTTGTTGATTCTTTAATTGGTTACATGCTATGTATTGTGATTTTATGTGGAGAAACATGATGGTTTATGTGATGGATGAAGTGGAAATATTAATGGTCATGTGGGATTTGTTATGTAACCCTTAACCTAGTAATTTCAAGCATGTCAAGTTCTAATAATTGATTGGTGAGTGCTATGATTTTCCACTTAAAAGTACTGTGATAAAAGTTAAGGATAATGTTTGAATGAACTACGAATGACTTGATCTCTATTTATGATACATAGGCAGTCTAACGAGGATGTTAGATGCAGCCATAAAGTCTACGAAGAATTATTGCCCAATTGGATCTTAAGTTATGTTTTGCCATTTCCCGAAGGCAAGGTATGTTAGAGTTACGGGTATTTGGTGACGTCATGTGTCGATCCTGGACGTATGTCGGGATTGGGGCGTGACGCATGTAATAGCAAAGCATATAGATTTTATGATTTGAAAAACCATGTCATAATTGAGTCACTTAATGATGATTTTTATGAGAATAAATTTCCTTTTAATCTTCGAAATAGTGGGTGTCACATCATGGCCCGGACCCCCACCACATCTCGAGCTCGACTTCACCGTAGCACGATATTGTTCGCTTTGGGCCCTTACCACGCCCTCACATTTTTGTTTTTGGAAACTCACATGAGAACTTCCCAGTGGGTCACCTATCCTGGGATTGCTCTTACGCAAACTCCCTTAACTTCGGAGTTCCTACGAAACCCGAAGCCAGTGAGGTCCCAAAAGGCCTCGTGCTAGGTAGATATGGGAATATACATATAAGGCTTATAGGATCCACTCCCCTGGGCGATGTGGGCTGTTACAATCCACCCCTCTTAGGGGTTCGACGTCCTCGTCGACACACATCTGACTAGGGATTGTCTCTGATACCAAATTGTCACATCCCGGCCCGGGCCCCCACCACATCCCGGGCTCGACTCCACCATAGCACGATATTGTCCACTTTGGACCCCTACCACGCCCTCACGGTTTTGTTTCTGGGAACTCACACGAGAACTTCCCAATGGTCACTTATCCTGGGATTGCTCTCACGCGAACTTGCTTAACTTCGGAGTTCCTACGGAACCCGAAGCCAGTGAGCTCCCAAAAGGTCTCGTGCTAGGTAGAGATGAGAATATATATATATAAGGCTTATAGGATCCACTCCCCTGGGCGATGTGGGATGTTACAATAGGGGTTCTAATTCTTCAAAAATTTATGAACCTATTGTTGTAGAACATAGTCAATCTGCATTAGAACCTAGGAAAAGTAAAAGAGCTCGAATAGCTAAAGATTTTGGGCTTGATTTTCATGTATATAACTTACAAGAAGATCCTAATACAATTCAAGAAGCTTTAACTTCTTTAGATGCAGATTTGTGGTAAGAAGCTATAAATAATGAAATGGACTCCCTGGAGTCAAATCAAACTTGGCACTTGGTGGGTCTTCCACCTGGTTGCAAAACAATAGGTTGCAAATGGATTCTTAACAGAAAAGTAAAACTTGACGGATCAATTGAAAAATTTTAAGCCCGACTTGTTGCCAAAGGCTATAGACAAAGAGAAAATATTGATTTCTTTTATACTTATCCACCTGTGAGTAGAATAACATCTATTTGTGAATATTTTGCTTTAGCTTCTATTCATGATCTTGTTGTGCACCAAATGGATGTTAAAATAGCTTTCTTAAATGGTGAATTAGAGGAAGAAATATATATGGATCAACCGGAGGGTTTTATTATTCCAGGACAAGAAAATAAAGTTTGCAAGTTAGATAAGTCTCTTTATGGATTGAAATAGGCTCCTAAACAATGGCATGCAAAATTTGATTGTTTGGTTACTTCGAATGGTTTTGAAATAAATGAAAGTGACAAATGCATCTATTATAAGTCTGAAAATAATATGTACACTATAATATGCCTATATGTGGATGATTTGCTTGTTTTTGGTTCGAATATTCATGTTGTGAATAATGTCAAATCTTTGTTATGTGCAAATTTTGATATGAAAGACTTGGGGTGAAGCTAGTGTTATACTTGGTTTGAAAATAACTAGGTCCGAAAATGGGTTTTCTTTAGATCAATCCCACTACATAGAAAAGGTTTTAAGAAATTATAATTATTTCTATTGTAAACCAGCATGTGCTCCTTATGATCCTAGTGTAAAACTGTTCAAGAACACTGGTGACAGTGTTAAACAATATGAGTATGCGAGTATTATTGGTAGCCTTCATTATGCTACTGATTGCACTAAGCCTGATATATCTTATGTCGTATGAGTTTTATGCAAGTTTACTAGCAAACCCAGTTTGGAGCATTGGCATGCTATAAAGAGGCTTATGAGATACCTTAAAAGAACGATGAATTTCATATTTCATAATGAGAAGTTTCCCGTTGTCCTAGGATGTTGTAGTGACACTGATTGGAATACCCTTTCAGATGACTCTAAAACCACTAGTGGATATATTTTTAGTATTAATGGTGGGGTTGTGTCATGGAAGTTTAAGAAACAGACTATCTTGGCTCAGTCTACTATGGAGTTAGAATTAATAACGTTAGCTACGGTAAGCGAAAAAGCAGGATGGTTGAGAAACCTACTGTCAGATAACCCTTTATGGGAGAAACCGACTGTTAGATACCTCTTTATGGGAAAACCTGATTCCAGCAGTTTTGATCCATTGTGATAGCACATCGCCAATAGCTAAAGTGCAAAATCGTTATTATAATGGGAAAAGACAACAAATATGTCGTAAGCACAACACTGTAAGGGATTATCTCTATAATAGAGCTGTAAGAGTGGATCATATACAGTCTGAAGAAAACTTGGCTAATCCTTTGACGAAAGGACTAGCATGAGAAAAGGTTTGGAAAACCTCAAAAGGGATGGGACTAAAGCCCATAGGAAATTGAGTCATTTGTGATAGCAACCCAACCTATAGACTGGAGATCCCAAGAAATAAGTTCAAAGGGTAATAACAAGTCACAAGTGATGAGTGAAGTCTTACTAATTTTAATTTGGAATATTATTCCATGTCCATCCCTAAGAAGCATGACATCCTGAAGCGTTTTTAGGTTGAGATTTTTTTCTTAGTAAGGTCTATTCTCTGTGTTGAGTGGGATATCTAGATGCAAGAATATCCTTGATAGTTTTACCTATGTGAATGTGGAAGTAAGGCCCCTTCCTATGAAGTCTTAGGCAAGTTTCTAGAGCGTTCACTATACTGGGATACAAGCACATGGCCGTAATGTGCTGGCTTTTTGAACTTCACCTTAATCAAGTTGTGTGTGTGGTATTGTCAGAGATAGAGTTCAAAACCAAAAGTTATTCTAGTATAATATGGATCACTAACACTATGTGCAGGTTCAAATTGAGAAACACCTTTACTTATGCATAGCTTTATGATATGTTGCTTGATATACAGTTTTTAAATAAAAACAAGTGGGGGATTGTTGGAGCAGTTATGTTTTTATTTAAATATTCATATATATATATATATAGATATATGTATATTTATATTTTGTTTTATTAGAAATATTAAGTATATAATTGTTAATTGCTATTAACCTTATCAGCTATTAACCTTATATGTTTTGAGATTCCTTCTTTGTATAGAGAAGAAGAACAAGTCTTAATCCAAAATCCTTCCATAATCATTCTGTATTGATTTTTTTCCGTTTTGGATCTCGTCCGTTTTAATTTTTCCATATGATTTCCTACGGTTATGAACCCAAATAACTCCTACAGTTTTGCACCCCAAATAACTCCTACAGTTTTGATTCCTTACGGTTTTGTAATCCCAACGTCTCTTTTTATATATATATATATATATATATATATATATATATATATATATATGTCATGCGAATTGTAGAAAGGTTTAGTGAAAAAAAATAGAAGTTTTACGTATATTGGTTTGATAGCAACATATCGAAAAGGTGTAAGTTCGAAGGTTATTCTGGTCTGCAAGGAAGAACTTCATCAGAAGAAGAAGGTTCTGGGTTGTTTTATCCAAGGGAAGAAGTGCTATTTGTGAATTGTTTGCACACTTTGGGGAAAGCCGCGAAACGTCTTAAAAAGAGCCACTTAGTCTGCGACTCATCCCAAGAATCATTCACCACTCAAGACTTCTACATTTTTCGGATAACTTCGCTCCTTTCTATTTTAGTTTACAAGAAGGACAACGATCGCCGCCCCAATTATGTGTCGTGTCACGGACATAGCAGGTGTCCTCCAGTAAAGCCAAACCATACCGGGATATTTTGTAACTGTAGATTATTATTGTACTACCTCGACGTGCGATCCTGCACATCTCGCACATAATTCTTTTGGCTTGTATCCAGCCAAATAACACCATGTTATGAAGCACCAACTCAAAGGTTACACATGCGAATCAATTCCGTCCATCTCTGAAGTCCTTCCCCAAACAGCAAGATGTTTGTTTCTGCATGCAGAATTCGATCTCAATGATACATTGGCATCTGACTCAGTATATTCCTAGCATTGCAACAATAGCAATGGCATTCCTATTGCTCTAATCATTTTGGATGGCAACCATGGAACTTTACATATCAACAGGAGAAGGAAAGTGACCCCAACTTGTTCTTGCAGATTGGAAGTCTCAACTAAATTGCCAAAGATGGTTAAAATTAATGCAAGTAGGTAAAATCCAAATGCAAGCAAGGTAACATTTGTCTTCGGTTGAATCAGCTTCTACAGATACTCACCAATATCTGTCGTGGGAGAGTTATTGAGATTATTTCCAAGATATGAGGTTTTTCTTCTTTTATAAACCGTAAAGTCAATTTCACTCCAGCATAGCTCTCATGAGAAGTGACTATGAGGTGAATTTATTAATAAGATAAAATAAATACAATATGTTAAGTGAGACATGAATCCAAACCTTGACTATTAAAAAATTCATAGAAAATAGGTCAAAATCTGTTGCAACCCATTTGTCCCACATTGGACAAAGGGAAAGAGAAAGAGCCATTTAAATATAATTATCCCACACTAACTAAAATCGAGGCTCTTTGTGATAAAACTTCACACCTGACGGATTGGGTAGGTGGTAAAGTGAGGACACTATCGGTGTTGATGGAGTGGGCCATTGGCCCATCGACTTGAAAAAATCTATATAGTATCACAATCAGGGGACGGGCTTGTACTGCCACGTGATTGGGTGGGCCCTCATTTGGCCCCGCTTGTTGGGTGAGTCCCGACATGGCTCCACGTAGGCCAAAGATGCCATGTGATTGGGTGGATCCCCTTTGGCCCTCGCGAAGGGTGAGCCTCGACTTGGCTCTGCGTGGTTGCTGATGTGTGGATTTTCATATGTGACCCATAAAATGGGGTCTCACGTGCGGGGGAGTGTTGCAACCTATTTGTCCCACATCGGACAGAGGGAAGGAGAAAGAGCCATTTAAATAGAATTACCCACTCTAACTAAAATTGAGACTTTTTGTGATAAAACCTCACACCTGACGGATTGGGTAGATGGTAAAGTGGGGATAGTATCGGTGTTGTTGGAGTGGGCCATTGGCCCGTCGACTTGACAAAGTCTACATGGTATAAGAGGGATTGGGCAGGGGGAGTGTTTAGGGTTTGTTGGAGTGGGCCCTGGGCCCGTTGACCTGAAAAATTATACATGGTATCAATGACTATGAGGTGAATTTATTAAAAAAATAAATACAATATGTCAAGTGAGACGTGAATCCAAACCTTGACTGTTAAAAAATACATAAAAAACACGTCAAAATCACTTTTAGCAAAACCTATAATAAGGAAGCTGAGAAAGGTTATGAGAATAAGCAATTGCAGCATAAGAAGGGCATGAATCCCACCAATAAACATCGAGATGATCAACACCATAATTGGCCAAACAATATGAGAAATCTGAACTTGCATGAAGGATAATAAAACTCGACAACCATGTCACCTAACCAAAACCCTCCAAGGGATTGATGTCAAAGGGCGAAGATGAAGAAAGAAGGTGAACAACCACTGATGAGTCACACTCAATTCATAATGAATGCCAACCTCTATCCTAAGCTAAGATACAACATGAATAACAACGTGTAGTTCAGTGTCCAAAGGAGAAGCCAAACTTATTCAACCCGCAAAACAACCAAGAGAATGTCTTGTAAAATCCCAAAATATACCACCAAATGCAATCAAATTAACCAGGGAAACCTCTTGCAATATCATAAGTATTTACTTGGATCCAAAATTGAGATCGCAAGGGTGCCACAACACTTTAATGATTTTTTTTTTTTTTAATCCTTTGTAGGACGTTCATGAACACAATAGAAGGAAGAATGCAGACTCTTCCAAAGAATTCTTCATAAAGTCAGAACTGAGATAATCAATTTCAAGGAATTGAAATTTAATATTCTAAATTGTATTTGTCTTCTCTATACTGAAGAATACAAATAGGAATACACACAACGGAATATACAAACGAAGTAGTAATTCCCAAAAACTCTAATTTACAAGGTCAACTAAGCTCAGTTGCGCTGAGCTTACATTAACATCTGGCACCAAAGGATGAAAGATTACCATAACTACTTAAAAATCTTGACCTTCTTCGGTTCATAATCAAGTAATTTTGGATTAGATACTTACATTCTAATATGGCCGGATGCTCATATTAAAACAGGAGTAGCCTTTTACTAGGTGCCAAATAGGCTTTAGCATTATGACTAGTTCCATGCAACACAGTACCAGGTAGTTTGATGTCATCTTCAATTTGACAAAATTTGTAAAAAGCAAAAAACATGAAGTGAATATGTCGGCTAGAGGATGCGGTATGCTTGTTGAAATTTAGATTTTGTTCCAAAGTAAATAATTTGTGTCTCTTCTTGTATGTTTTTTGACTTCTTAGCTTTAAATCCTTTCAAGTGCTTTGTTTACAGCACCTTGTCTCAACTTTCCAAAAGATTTCCCTAAACCAACAATTAAAAAAATACATAATTATTTTTGTTTATTTTGAGAATATAATTTTCTGCTACTCAGTACTACGGTTTGGTTGTATTCGTCTTCACTTGGAAGTGAGATGTCTTAGGTTCGAATCTCTTGGATGGCAAATTCGATACTAAATTAGGTTGCTCATTATGTGGCTTAGTCGAACTCTTCATCTTCTAGTGTAAAATTATCAATGTACTAAAAATATATATATATATATATTTTTCTATTAATCTGAGGAATTTAATCTGCATAAATTCCAATACTACAGCAGTGCATTTAGTCAGGTACATGAATTCCCTCTCACAGCACAGGAATAAAATCTGATTAGAAGGTGGGGATCCAATGGAGGTGCAGCAAGGAGACAAAGACAGGTGTTGCAGATTAATTGACAATGACAACAAAATTGGTCCCCCAGATGGTCTGATCTAGTACAACTGATTGAGATTTGCTGCAGCCACTTGATCATGCCCTCAAAATCTTCTTTCTTATTACAAAAGATTACATGAACATTAATTAATTATTGATCCTTCTTAATTTTGTTCCTAGTAAGTTTACAAGGAATGAGGAAAAAAGCATACTATTGTATGCTACTCTCTGGAATATTACCACATCCGAGCTTGAAGAGAAACTTACTTATACTGAAAATATTATTGTCACTTACTTACGTCAAGAAAGTCACTTTGATGAAATGCCGGATGAATCAAATTAAACAAAAATCACTCAGTTCTTTTCACAGCTACTTCTGTTGATGGACCACAACTTACTCAACATTCTTTTGGGTCTAGTAGGAAGTGAGCAAAGAGATTTCATCTTTGAGTTTCTCCCAATTCCATCCGGGTGCATATTATTTTCGTCCAAATCATCATCTTCCGCCAGCTTCATTTGTAAAGTTGACATCCTCGACTTTGGCAATTTCAGGCCTGAAGCGCTCCATTGGTCCTCTGCTGGAACAATGCTAGCGTTGCTTAGCGAGGGCGGAGGCCTCGATGGATCAATGTTATGTGACGCTAGCAGTTCCCTAATGTTGCTAGGAAGCTCGGTCACTTTGCCGCCGGCCATGGCAGCTCGGGCTTGCTCAAAGAAGAGAACTTGGACCACCACTCTTAGTGGGAGTAGCTCATTTTGTGCAGCATGCATGCAGACCTCCATTGAGAGCTTTTTGCAGTCTAGAATTCTGCAAAGCCTCTTCCTTTCACTTTTGTTTAGGTCTGGATGTGCCTGATTTGTAGGCAATAACAACTTTAATTAGCAAACTTCTATAATTAACATCAATAAAGTCCAAATCAGAGCATGGAACAAAATTTAATGAAAAAAATTATGATCATTATGCTATTGAAAATGTGGACTCACCCCTTCTTAATTTCTTGTGGACCTAATCCTTACTGACAAGAAGTTATGAAGATGACAAGATTTTAAGGTCAAGAAAGTTGGTTATCTACTGATTGTGTCCCACATTCGAAAACATGACACTGAAATATACCTAGAAATCTAACAGAATAGTAGTTTACCAATGGAAAAAAACGTACTATCAAATATGTTATGGATAATATGTCAATGTTATTGTTGCCAAAAATGTATGGACAAGTTATCTCTTCGTTTTCGACAATATCAATGCACTTCTGTTCTTTCTGGACATCTTGCGCGGATAACTTATAATACGGTAAAACATGAATGTAGTTTGAGAACTAGTATATTGTTATTACCTTGAGGTAAATGTCAATTGCTCTGTAGAGATCATCATGGTCAAGCCTTGCAAACTCTGGTATTGCCTCAGCAATTGCAATGAACTTTGAGAGGGACAAATTGACATCCCTGGCAATCTCCTGAAGATATTCATCCATAATCTTTGCCACCTTCAGCTTCGAGCTATGTGACGCCGAGGAAGATTTCCGGCTTTCCTGAAACTCAAAATCAATGTTCTCCGCAGAGCGAGACCTCCTCCTCCTTTCAAAACCAAGCTTGGACCTCGGAGGACTAGTTGGGGGACTCTGCCCCTGCAGCAAGAACTGCTCCAAAATTGTCATGACTATGTCCACATCATATCGCGTTGTGCTTTCGCACGACGCACAGGGGATTAGCAAGTCACTGACTGTTGCATCATCCAATTGAAGCCCTACCCTTCTGGCCAACTCCATTTTTGAAGAAGAAGAAGCATTGAGAATGTTGGCTGCCTTTAAAAGTTTAAGCAGAAAGCTAGTGGAAGCAGCACATTTTTCAACCGGAACTAAACTTACAATGGACTCCAAGATCAACCTATGCTTTGAGATTAAATCATTAGCAGAGTTTGAATCCGAATCCAACTCTGCTTGTTGATTATCAGTGTCGCTTTTCGATATTTTAGGCAACCATCGAGCAGCATAAATTTTCAATGCATCTCCAATGAGACTAGAGGGAATTTTTCCACCAGATTTTATTGCAATCGTAGTTCTCCAGTACAAGTCAATCCCCAATTCTGCAATGTCCTCAGCCCACCATCCCCTGCCTTCTGGCCTACCGTTATGCCGGAGGCTCTCGGCACCATTGCAAGACACAATGTCGTCTCTGCCCCTCCTGGAATAGCTGTGTGAAAGGCTTACTTTGGAAGGGTTTGTGAGGACTTTTGTGGCAATTGCTTCAATGCACCTGGATGTGATTCCGAGCTCCTCCGACCACAGAGGAAATGCCTTTGTGCTCTGAAGCGTGGCAATTGAATCCCTCCAACCGTGGAGGATGCAGGAGTTGAAGAACACCTCGAGTTTGTATATAAGGTTTCCCTTCTCGACATCCTCGGTCATCTGCAGGTACTCGGCGGCACAGCGAGAAGCGACAATGTTGTAGGCGCTGAGAGTGATTGTGATGCCGTAGCAGAACTTTGCGCAGAGCTCGAAAGCCTCGACGCCACAGGGGAAGTCGTGGAGATGGATTAGGTGGTGGTTTGAAGATTCTTGGTACTCAGAGCAGAGCCTCTGCAGCCTCAAACACTTGGATAACAGAGGAAACTGCGTGACAAGTGGGAAAATGAACAATTTAGAGAAACCCCATGTGTGATATTGAATCTAAATTACAACAAAACATAACTTTAAGAAATCCCAGAATTTATTTTTGTGAAAAGTAACAAGTGTGAACCTTGTGAAGCAAATATCTGCTTCCTTTCACTTGAATTATGAGATCGCTTGAAACTTCAGAGGAAACTGACCTGAATTGAACCCAAAAAAAAAAACCTTTTAGTACCTTTGATCGATTGAACATTTTTTTTTTTTTTTTCATATTTAACCAGAAAATTCATAACAAATCTTACCTTACAGCCTCAGTAGTGTAGAAATTATCCTGCCGGGATCCAAGTTTCATAAACTTCATGGCTGATTCCTCTGTTTTCTTCTTATGACATCATAAGCTCCTTAACGCATTTGAAACTATACAGATATGTTAAAATTCTCCCTACCCCCTAGTTAATTAGAGATTAGTCCAAAGAGAAAATGAAGGATTTTTGTTGGATGAGATCTGATATGTATCCAAGAACAGAGGAAAACCAAGAGCTCTTGTTTTGTGGGTGTGACAGTAATGAGTATTCAAAAATGACAAAACTCAGACTCAAAGGAGGATCAAATGGAACAACAGCAAAGTCCAGGTCCTATCAGTCAAATTCTATACCCCATGTGACCTGGACATGCAAACAAAGAAACCCAAATCACTCTGCAATCCCAACCAAATCACACACACACAGAGCAAATCCCCAGCAGGTCAATCAAATTATTTAATTATTTTTTAACAAAAAACTAAACCAAAGCTGCTCTAAACAAGTAGACAAATCAAGATTATGCTTACAGAAAAACAGAAACTGCTGCCAAACACTCGTGAGTAAGAAAACTTTTCCTAGAAAATGAAATTTTTTCTGGAAAATGTAGGGGTTTTGGTAGCTTGGAAGGAAAATATGGGATGGCCATGACAGTGTGCAGTACAAAAGGTAAGTCACACGTGCTTGTCTAGAGCCCACTTGTGCCCTTATCTCTCATCATTGCCACACCATTTTTTATTTGTGAGGAGAAAGACCCCTCCTCCTTATCAAAGATTTTTCAATATGCACGAATCATATTTTCGACATACTAAAATACTTCTCCTCTTCATACCTTCTTTAGATTATTTTTGTCAAACTCTATTTTATACACAATATCGTATGTCTCCTTGCTTCGCAATTATTAATTTCTAAAAGGGAATACAAGAGAGGGATTTGAAATAATTGAAAAGCTAAAGAGAGATGTGTTTATGAAATAAAAAAACAAAGATACAATAGGAAATTTTTTTTGGCAATGCCCCATGAATTACGAGCTATTTAAATTTTTAATTCATGTTAATGTTCTTTTCTCATAAATTTTTAATCTTTGCCCCACCCCCCTCTTACCATTAGCATTTACATGGCTACTTTTTTTTTTTCTTTCTGCTGCCAAATTCAGACATTTGCCTTTTTTCTTTCTATTGATATGCATAAGCAACAAATCAAACAATTCATCTCCTTATATTTATCAACAAACAAGGAAATTTATAATCTAAGAACATTGGTAATAAGTTTTTCCTTAGAATTTTCCAATTGCAGAAAGTTTAACAAACCATTCGGGATTGATGAAAAAAATTGAAAGACAAATACTCATCTTCTAAACTTTAAAAAAATTGAAATCAAACGAACAAAATATTCATGAATTGAGTCATACCTTAGTTGGAGGATTCAAAACTTCAAAATCACCATCCATCAATAAAAAAAAATAGACTTGTTTTTCTCTACAAGACGTATTAGGGTTTTAGCCAGAATGAATATAGGATAAACAAGAAGTGATGATAGGGTTTAATGAGTTTATTGATAAATTTGAGTTTTATTATTAATTTTATTTTGTACTTAATAGTAATTATGCAATAGGGTAAAATAGACAATTAACAATTTAAATTTAAATTGGGTGTAGAAAGAGGTTATATGAGTTCAAATAAAATTTCCCTTTCGCTTATTAAATATGACATGTTGGTGGCATATATGCTTCTTAGAGTTAATTCATGGGAATTGTATGAAGAAATGTACCAAAAAGTATATGACAAGATTGACGGTTTGTATGACATTGATACAAATGAACGTTTAAGGCGGCTGAAAACCTTATCTCCCAAATCCTTATCTCTAAATTTCTCTAAATTTATTTCTATCTTGCAATTGGAGGAGCTTGTTGAAATCTTCCCAGTTGTTTTGGCTGTTTGATTGACATCTTTACTCACTATCATTCACGGTTAAATTGTTAGAAACAAAGTTTTATTCATATCTATGTAAAGGCTAGTTGCAATTGCCAACGGTGCTATTTCTTTGAGGACTTACAGAGGTGATAGCGACCCCTCTTTTTTTAATTTAACAAAGTCCAAAATCCAGGTTATTTTTTTAATAAACAATATTATTTGGGAAGGAGTAGGTTTAGCCTCATAATAGGCTAACAATAATGTGGTTTAAATTCGTATTTGCCAGGAATCGAATCTAAAACCTCAAGTAAAAAAAAATACTATTAGACAGTAGTACTAATTGATCAAAATTCAAGTATTATCTCTAAAGCTTTCCCAGTATAATAAAGAGGGATGCTAAACGCAAGAATTGGATACGTGAATCGCTTTCAAGATAGGCTTTTTTCAATCAAGGCTTTAAGCCTTTTAACCATTATCTTCTCCACCTACAGTCTGCATAGTCCACACCGTATCATATAAAATGCCTATTCTCTTAACTACCCTTGTTTTTTGCTGCATCATCTAAACTACCCTTTTTCTGCATTTATAGCATGTGGCCCATGAATGTGAAGCTTTGAATATTACTGGTGTGTGACATGAAAAAACATGCATGAATTATGAATATATATGGTGTTCGGATTATACTTGCATCCACTATAATGTAGGGTGCTCGTATTTTTCTATTTGAGAATATTGTTTTTTGACAGAATGAAGTCAACAATTGTTCAATTTTTTAATTTTCATTTGAACATCAATCCTACAAAAAACCATTTAAATTTAAGATCACTTAATCATCCAAACACATCAAATAAATGGACGATTCATCATGAATATATTATTTAGTACTTACATAGTAGATTTATTATATACATTTAAATGACTAAATGATCTCGAATTGAAACAAATTTTTGTGGAGAGATTTTCAAATGAAGATTAAAAAATTGAACGATTTCAATTATGAAATTTATACAAGTAAGATACTTAATTTGCAAGAGGGGAATGAGCTCACCCCGAATGAAGGAATGCAAGTATTATTCATGATGTTACATATAGACAAATGAAAGCTGTTTTTGGTCCTAAACTTCCATCAATGAAGGCGAAAAATGCATAAATTTGGCGGTTGAAGGTCAATATTTCACATCGGATTATTAATGGTTTGAGATATTTTTTTCTTTTTCTGTTCATATATACAACAGCAATGTAGGGCCATACGAGTTATGATCAAGTGATAGTTGAACTAATTTCATAGAAAGTAACATTGGTATTGTTCATCCACAAGTTTTCTCAGCATTTTTCCTTTTGCCTTAAAAAAGTTTGGGCGGGGACGGACCTTAAGAAGGACTCCCATGTCCGATTACCACCTGAACTCGCGAAAAATGCGCTGATATAATTATATTCCTAACACTGTCTCGCCCAACTCCAAACTCACTTTAACCTATAAAGCTAGCATCGTCCAAGGACGAGAATCGCTTTAAGGATTTAGCCTATGCACTTCGTGCGGGTGTGAGGAGCATATGCATCTTCTCCAATCATAAATGGTTGGTTACATGCAAACTAATTATACGTGAAACGTGTTAGAGAGGTCGGTTTATCAAAAGAGAAATGTCGAAGCGTTTGTCTACTTGAGTGTTGCACCATATTCAAGCATGACAAGGGAGAGAACAAGACCCATTTTACGTTAAGTCTCGATCAATGCCCACCCTTGTTTCATTTCGTTTTAATCCTTTGTCACAATGGTCCATGCCTACCTCAAATTTGGGGAATTGGCAATTGGGACGTTTGATATTTTGAGGCAAATTAAACGGCAAATGAGAAATATGGGAGAAATTTTACGTTTGGAAACACTTGTCAGATAGTGTATCATTTCAAGTGTTATAATATGAATGAATGACGGAATTTATATGTCTTACGGTTAGAATATATTAATCTATAAATATATTTTTATATTATAATTTAAGTAAAATAATAACATTACAACCAAAAATATCTTCAAATTTAGGGCAATTGGCAAGTTTGATATTTTACCAATAAGTGGAGGGTAAGGTGTAGAATGAGTGGTGTTGAATACTGGTAAAGGTCATTGCCAGCATAAGTTGATGTCCACCCTACGTGAGAAAGAGGGTTCACCTCAAATGGCGTCATGGTATGGTCCTCTTGATGCTGCCCAACGGGGTGGCCAACCGACAATATGGGGCCCCAATAGGCTCGGATTCCTCTACATACTTCACTACTTTCTTTGTACATGGGACCCTCGTGGTGTAAGACTTGGGGCCCTTTTACAGTTTGCATGTAGAAGACGACTGCAGTTGAGCTTAGATCACACATTCACTCCCTCTGAGATTCTTACTCCAAAGTCTAAACCCTAATAAAACCAAACCAATGATTTTTTTGTGTGATTTTCTCCACAAAAGTCACCAACAGATTCATTAATTACCAATTGTAATGGACCACAATTCGATAAAGAGATTGTATAAAACGATGATCTTTAAGTAAAAGCAAATTAGAATCCACAAAGATTACGAAAAAAACTAAAAGTTTATTGAATGAATAATATGAGAGAAACAAACCCTAGACTTTTTAAGATTACAAATCGGGAGCAAATTTGAAAAATAACAACAAAAGAAAAACCAAACACGTCTTAAGATCTTAAAAGGCTGATACAAGTTAACAACATAATAATTATAAAATTTGGCCTAAAATCTCATATATCACAAGCTTCATAAAAAATCAATGAGTTGTACTCATGACACCATATATTTTCTTTGACATAGTTAAGCCTAAATTGAAACCGAAACCTAATTAGGCAAAATTTTGGATCTTTCAAATCTGTGCTTTTCAATTTAATCTTCAACTTATTTTGTCATTTGATCTACATTAAAATGTATTGTTAACGTATTAGTGTCGTCACACTATAAATTTAGATCACACATTTGACAAGAATTATCAATCAAAACAACGGAACGGTGAGGCTATGACTTTAACTATTTATCTAAGCAGAGATTCATTAAAAACACAAGGACCCCGCGAATTGTATGCATATAATCCTCTTTTAAAGTGAGAATTTATGAGAAGGGGCACCACTATCCCACATTGGAAAAGCTGAAAGAGACTCTGGTCCGTGCGTTGAGGGGAGAAGACGGTCCCTGCTGAAAATATGAATGATGCAATTCATACGATCTCGAACACAACAAGATTGCACCACAAGAATCGTATCTGGCTAACTGGAATACGTACAAAATTTGATGACCCAACAAAACTAATAAAAAGACCGATGAAAGTAAGAGAGACGGACAGGGACAGTGATTACACAATAAACTGTGCCTGCGTGACATTTGATCTTTCATGTGAGCCGAACAAGGCTTTCGTATCTTATCAGCATTTCCTTGCAGAGATTTCAAGGCTTTAGCACGATTTGGAAAGGTAGGATCAGATGTATCTTACAGGTGCAAATGGAACTGTGGCCCTGACTGGCCATATTTAATCAGTACGTCATCTCATTTTCTCTTGTTTTGTTAGGATTTCAATATTTTTAGTGCCTAAATTTTCACTTGTGTTCTAATATAATTCAGGAGGATATATTTTCATGGAATGGAACACCCTAATGGTGGAGTATTCATTCCATGAAAGCTGATCTCCTAATTCAGTAAATAAACAATATTTTGTTTCAATTTAGTCCATGATTAATTTGTTAACCATACAGTAGTATTGTTTTTCAAGGATTTAATGTTTTTCACTAATATGTTCTCTCAGGCTATCCAAGACATAATTTTCGTGATGATTAATTCTGCCTCTTCCATATAATAATATTTAATTTCTCATGCTGTGGGAGATTGTAAATTAACAGAGAAAGCATATAATTATTGCATCATG